TTTGTGAAAGAGGATTATTCCCTATGTTATCTAATACGGTGTTAAACTGTGCTGTACAAAGTTTGTATTTGCGTTATAAAAGATTGATTTCGTTCGCGCTCATTGCATCTGAACATCCTATCTAGTGCGTTCACTTCTTCGTCTTTCCTTTCTTTCTTTACGTCTTAAATGTCAAGTCCATTTAGCGACGATGATTGAAGAGTTAACCCTTTAACTTCCAGAAGTGATTGACATGTAACTTCTGCCAATAATATCCATACATTATCCATTACACATTAGATGGTAACATTAGCGATTGAAATTGATCCCTGAGATTTTGCATATTCGTAATCTTCGATTCGTACCTTATACACTAGCGATTGATCCAGTTTTAATAACGATTTGTGTAAATTTGAACCAAATATTGACTCTCCATACTAACGTGCGGGTTTTGCAACTGCAGAAACTTGGCGTGAAAAAGTACAGTTAACCCTTCGATCCTCATAGGACGGTAGAACATGTATTTCAGCAATGAAAATTATTGTGATCACACGGCTATACTATAAAAGTAGAAAAGGAAATTTAGTTCCCGGAAAAAATCTTTGCCGAGCGATTTTTTGCTTGTAGTAAGGTATCTAAAATGGGCGCAAAAAAGAGGTTTATAAAAAAAGTATAATATTTGGTACTTTGTAGCCCCGTAATATTCAAAAGATTTACCATTAACTGGTTAATTCCTAATAACCGTTAAGACAAATATCAGTCTCTGGGTTTACAAGTAAAATGTATTAACGTCTTGGTTCTCTAATCAGGTTCTTAAGGCCGCTAAAGAACTTGATCTTGGCTGTGGTGTCGGTGGAGGAAAAAATAACAGAGACATTTTTAAGGTTGGTACTCAAAATAATGACATGGAACGTGAATCATTGAAAATTTTAAGTGACGAAGAGATCGACATAGATAATACGACATAGCCTGTGTGTAGCGGATGACTTCCTCCATGGAGGGAGACACTACTAGTTCATACATTTTGGAGAAAGAAAGGATAAGTCTCTCTGTTGTTTAGCGCAAATGTTAAAAGCCTAAAGTTTCTCAGTTACAAGATTGAAATTCACTCATGGCCGAAGACGTACCCTGGTATATGAGACGAAGAACATGCGGCGCTGAAACTTTTCATTTGATTATTTACATTTTCATCGATTTCTCCATTCACTACTTTCCTGTCAGAGGGCTGGTGTTGTCATCATGACGGATAACTTTGTTAGCGATGGAAGAAATGGTGAGTTTATTATTTGAAACTCTTGTTAATTCGAAGCAAAATAGGTATTACATTAAGTTAACACGACGAATTTCTTTTCACCCTGAAGCTCGAACCATTTCATTACAAGTACCAATCTATTTTCCTTAATAATGTTCGAAAATTTAAATTTGTGATTCTTTTTACTTCTTGCGTCAAAAAATATAAAAAATACTCGACTATGTTCGATAACATTAGCAAGTTTGAGGGTCGGTTATTCAAACAAAGTTTAGCCATTTTTTAACAAAACCGCGTCCCAAACAATCCTCAATTCAGCCGAACCTTTTCGTCTGAACATTCATTTTTGCGAACAGTGTAAGAGGGCTGAGAGCTAAAAGTGGAAAGACATTATCTAATCAAATCAACCCTCTTATAGAGAAAGCCTAAAACCGCGGTTTGGGTTAGACCTCGGGTAAATAACCAGCACTAAGTGTTTGTTTAGGATAAGATAACAATAGGACGTAATAACTTAAATAATAATTAATAATAATCATTGATAATTTAATAATTTTCATGATAATTCTTTTTACTTACCGTAGCGGGGTAAATATGCACGACTTTAGTGTACCTTGAGATCATTAAGTTCCAAAGGCTGTGTGCGAAGGTTTCAGCTTGATATAAGTCATGATTTTTAACGGATTTCATCTTAGATGAATATAATGGTGATAAGGCTAAGCACCTGAAAGTTGTGATGTCTTTTTTTATTATTTTTCAGGCTATGGCTGCGATGAAGATGGTTCTCGAAGAAAACGGAGATCATCGGCAGACCCAGGTAGAACTGAAAGCAGATTTGAGTTTAGTTTCCACATGATCACCACAATTGATACAGTCTTTGTGATTGTTGACAGTAGAGACGTTTATTTCGCAGCTTTGCTTGGATCATAAAATGTGGATCGTACAATACAATATTCTTTATTTAACGAAGGTGACGTAATTAACCCAGTGAGTTATCTAACTTACGGCCTTCACAGCAGTACAAATACGTATATAAAATAATGACTAAACAGCAAAACGAAATACTGGGAGAGAAACTAAAACTAGAAATTGTATGGTTTAACATAGATATAATATGATATAAACAATTACTTCCTAATACTGTTACAATAAAGAGAAAAACGACAATCATAACGCATTAACCCGACTAAAGGAATAAGATACGAAGTCTATGCTTAAAATTACTTAATTTAGATGAAAAAATAGTAGAAGAAAGAGATACACTGGCTATTCGCTCAAGATCAGTGTCAAGGCTATTAAAAAGGGTGGCAGCAGAGTAAGCAAATTTGCGTTTTCCAGAATTAGACCGCGGGAAGGGAACTTGAAGATTAAAAGCGCAAGCTCTAATGCGCAAACCAGTTGAACGAACGAAAGACAAGGAATTGAATTTACGTTTAAGACAAAGAGGAGCATCAGGATTATTAAGAATAGTGAATAAGAGTACAAGTTTTCTTAGTTTTATAAGGTCGAAAATAGGAAGCCATTTTAGTTTGGAAAATAAGTTTACAGATGGTTGGAAGAAGTCGTCATTAAGGAGCAGTCCAGCTGCACGTTTTTGAAGGCGAAGAAGACGAGACAATAAATAACTAGAACAACTACCCCATAATAGGGAAACTACATTAAATGCCTATAAAGGATCAAAAGGCTTGGTTCGTAACATTGTTTAGATTCGATATGGATAATATGGAAACCTTATCAAAGACCATACAGAGTATCTAAACAGTTTAGTTACTTAATAGGGCTAAATCTTTTTATTCACTAATTTCGGTGTCTGTCTCTTAACCCTAGGTTCAATTGATGCACCGGAAAATAACTTGTTTTCTAAGAATTTCACCAATCTAGTAGCGTTTAGTGATGATTTGAAGTAAATTTTGCTTGATTTCAAACTTGAGGCTCGTTTTTTTTCCTTCAATTGTGCACTGTTACTATTAATCCAACAGTTATGAAGATGTGCTGTGAATGGGGAAGAAAAGCTGGTGGAAATGTAACTTGCGCGAAACTTTCGTTGGACGCCAACAAAAATTTGCCTGATGACTGCAGGGAGGCCTTCTGGACCTGTTGCGTAGAAACGTATGGCAGAAATGGTAAGTAAAAACAGCTTTGCCTCCCTAAATTCAACCCAGTTGTTAAAATGCATGCTTAAGTCCTGCGCCTAAACTGTTGGGAAAGGAGCTTAAATTATTAAAAAAAAGAGAAAAAAAAGATGAAAAAAAAATACAATTAGCACTAATACTCATACTTTTCGATTTGACTGCAATATTTCAATGAATGCTTTGCCTAAACGTAATATGACAGAAAAATATCGGCGACAGTGATGGTACTGTTAGAGTTCGACCAAAGTGCGTTACTCTGAAAAAATGGAGATACGTTTTTAGAACTGCGACCTTAATATCTTTTATCATCAAAAACATCTGTTTTTGTATTTATCATTATATCATATATGATATCATACACATTATAACAGGTAGAGTTCAGTGAGCTCTGAACCATACCTGGAAAAATTCCAAACTACATTCCAATGCTTCATTTTTTCTATAAGTTGAGACAATTCTTACCGCGTAGATTTTGAGTTATCAACCTCGAGAATGGCAGTATGTTTGAAGTTGATTTGCTAACGAGTTTTGACGACAAAGAGATGCTCTTAACCCTTTACACCCTAACATCAGTATTTATATTCTTCATACTGTTCTCTGTACATTTACTAAGGTGCTGACGAGGAGAATTTGTGTAACAATGAAGAGTTTAAAAGGTATGTTTTTTTGTTTGTCTTACGATGTAGTCACGTATGATGTAGATCGCAACGTTTCGACTGCATACTGCTAGTCTTCTTCAGGTGATGAGGTCGACTGGTCATGCGTGATGGTATAAAGTATGATGCTCTGTTGTGATTAGTTGTTTTTTCAACAGCTCTGATTGGTGCATTTCGATCCTTGCTGTTCACTCAGTGATTTGCTCCCCCGGCGGTCCGCTGTCGCACGGCTCTCCTGTTGTTGTGTTTTTTGATCGTGGGCATCCACGCTTCTGGAATTTCTATTCCACTATCCCTGTTGATGTTGTTAGGGTGAAGCCTTATATTGACCCTGCACATGTAGTAATAAGGGTCACGATCAATAAACTTTACTTCGTTCCAGAGTGGCTTGTGTCCGGTGTTGTGGGCATGCTCTGAAACGGCGGAGGTCTCGGTACGGGCGAGTCGAATGTCTCGATCGTGCTCCTTAATTCTGTCTTGCATAGGTCTTCCTAGATTTTCAGCTGTTGAAAAAACAACTAATCGCAGCAGAGCATCATGCTTTATAAGATCACGCATGACCAGTCGACCTCATCGCCTGAAGAAGACTAGCAGTATGCAGTCGAAACGTCGCGATCTTCATCACATGTGATTACATCGTGAGACAAACGAAAAAACTTAGCTTTTATTGTTATTCACCACGATGAATAATCACAGCCTTTTCTACTAAATGAAGAGTTTCTTTAGTTGGTGATCATTTCCTCTATTCTCGTGGCATTTATGTCTGACTCAGTGGTGATATTGTAAGGACAAATTAGATGCCAGTCACTCTAAGGGGTTAAAGGTTTAACGATCTTTACGATATAAAACGGCGTATTTGATATAAAGACTGAAAAGCGACTTGTGTTGGATAAAACGTTTAGATTCCGCCCTGCTTGGAAGAAGTGGTGCACCGAGTGTAGATGATGATGAGCGGTACCTCGCTGAGGTAGGGTATCAAGTTAGAACCGACTTTCCAGAAACCTGGCTTTGGGATGAGCGTGTCGTTGGGTAAGATGATAAACTGATACAAAATTTATTATATTAGCATTATAAATATTATTATTACTATTACTAACGTAAATTTGTTGATCATTATCAAGGATTTTTAAACGTATCGATGGCTATAAATAAGCACACACTCAAATTCATGAAATAAAAAACGAAACAAGCATCGAAAAAATTTATTTAACCAAGTACGTATGTGCATGTAGCGTCGAACAAGAAATTTATTTCTCAGGTTGAAGTTATTTTCCTTGTCAAGGTTACTCTAATCTATGTAAAATTCACTTTGGCATTCTTCAGAGTTAAGTATACAGCTCACCTTTCACAGGTTACTGAAAGAGGGGTTTCCTAAGATAGATCCCTTGTGAAAAGCCCACAGCTAAAACTGACTTAGAAGGCCACAGTTTCATCATTTTTCAGTCGCTCCGTGATGTACCTCTGCACAACCAGTGAGAAATGTGACTCAGAACAAAAAACTTTTCAAAAAGAGCGCTCTCTGAAGCATCCGCTCGCTACTAATGTTCGCTATCAACTAAATGCTACGACTTCTATTTTGAGTTTCCACGAAAAACCTCAAGAACCGACCATAAAAAGAGTTGAACAAATATAATTTACAACTGTTACTCCTTCAATGGCTTGACAAAAAATTGTCTTACCTTTCTACAGGGAGGATGGAACTGCAGAAATA